GGCTATTGTAAATAGTGCTGCAATGAACATTGTGGTACATGACTCTTTTTGAATTATGGCTTTCTCAGGGTATATGATCAGTTGTGGGATTGCTGGGTCATATACCAGTGCTCTTTTTAGTTTTTTAAGGGACTTCCATACTGTTCTCCATAGTGGTTGTATCAATTTACATTCCCACCAACAGTGCAAGAGGGTTCCTTCTTCCCAACACCCTCTCCAGCATTTACTGTTTGTAGATTTTTTGATGATGTCCATTTTGCCTGGTGTGAGGTGATACCTCATTGTAGTTTTGATTTTCATTTCTCTAATTATTAGTGATGTGGAGCGTTCTTTCATGTGTTTGTTGGCAATCTGTATATCTTCTTTGGAGAAATGTCTATTTAGGTCTTCTGCCCATTTTTGGATTGGGTTGGGGTTTTTTTGATATTTAGTTGCATGAGCTGCTTGTAAATTTTGAAGCTTAATCCTTTGTCAGTTGCTTCACTTGCAAATGTTTTCTCCCATACTGAGGTTTGTCTTTTCATCTTGTTTATGGTTTCCTTTGCTGTGCAAAAGCTTTGCAGTTTCATTAGGTCCCATTTGTTTATTTTTGTTTTTATTTCCATTTCTCTAGGAGGTGGGTCAAAAAGGACCTTGCTGAGATTTATGTCATAGAGTGTTGGGCTTATGTTTTCCTCTAAGAGTTTTAGAGTGTCTGGCCTTATATTTAGGTCTTGAATCCATTTTGAGTTTTTTTTCTTTTTTCTTTTGTCGTACGCGGGCCTTTCACTGTTGTGGCCTCTCCCGTTGCGGAGCACAGGCTCCGGACGCACAGGCTCAGCAGCCATGGCTCACGGGTCCAGCCGCTCCGTGGCATGTGGGATCTTCCCAGACCGGGGCACGAACCTGTGTCCCCTGCATTGGCAGGCAGACTCTTAACCACTGCGCCACCAGGGAAGCCCTTGAGTTTATTTTTGTATATGGTGTTAGGTAGTGTTCAAATTTCATTCTTTTACATATAGCTGTCCAGTTTTCCCAGCACCACTTATTGAAGAGGCTGTCTTTTCTCCATTGTATTTTCTTGCCTCCTTTATCAAAGATAAGGTGACCATATGTGCGTGGGTTTATCTCTGGGCTTTCTATGTTGTTCCATTGATCTATATTTCTGTTTTTGTGCCAGTACCATACTGTGTTAATTACTGTAGCTTTGTAGTAGTCTGAAGTCCAGGAGCCTGATTCCTCCAGCTCTGTTTTTCTTTCTCAAGGTTGCTTTGGCTATTCAGGATTTTTTGTGTTTCCATACAAATTGTGAAATTTTTTGTTCTAGTTTTGTGAAAAATGCCATTGGTAGTTTGATAGGGATTTCACTGAATCTGTAGATTGCTTTGGGTAGTAGAGTCATTTTCACAAAGTTGATTCTTCCAATCCAAGAACATGGTATATCTCTCCATCTGTTTGTATCATCTTTAATTTCTTTCATCAGTGTCTTATAGTTTTCTGCATACAGGTTTTTTGTCTCCTTAGGTAGGTTTATTCCTAGGTGTTTTATTCTTTTTGTTGCAATGGTAAATGGGAGTGTTTCCTGAATTACTCTTTCAGATTTCTCATCATTAGTGTATAGGAATGCAAGAGATTTCTGTGCATTAATTTTGTACCCTGCTACTTTACCAAATTCGTTGATTAGCTCTAGTAGTTTTCTGGTAGCATCTTTAGGATTCTCTGTGTATAGTATCTTGTCATCTGCAAACAGTGACAGCTTTACTTCTTCTTTTCCAATTTGGATTCCTTTTCTTTCTTTTTCTTCTCTGATTGCTGTGGCTAAAACTTCCAAAACTATCTTGAATAATAGTGGTGAGAGTGGACAACCTTGTCATGTTCCTGATCTTAGTGGAAATGGTTTCAGTTTTTCACCATTGAGAACGATGTTGGCTGTGGTTTTGTCATATATGGCCTTTATTATGTTGAGGTAAGTTCCCTCTGTGCCTACTTTCTGGATGGTTTTTATCATAAATGGGTGTTGAATTTTGTCAAAAGCTTTTTCTGCATCGATTGAGATGATCATATGGTTTTTCTCCTTCAATTTGTTAATATGGTGTATCACATTGATTGATTTGCGTATATTGAAGAATCCTTGCATCCCTGGGATAAATCCCACTTGATCATGGTGTATGATCCTTTTAATGTGCTGTTGGATTCTGTTTGCTAGTATTCTGTTGAGGATATTTGCATCTATATTCATCAGTGATATTGGCCTGTAGTTTTCTTTCTTTGTGACATCCTTGTCTGGTTTTGGTATCAGTGTGATAGTGGACTCATAGAATGAGTTTGGGAGTGTTCCTACCTCTGCTGTATTTTGGAAGAGTCTGAGAAGGATAGGTGTTAGCTCTTCTCTAAATATTTGATAGAATTTGCCTGTGAAGCCATCTGGTCCTGGACTTTTGTTTGTTGGAAGATTTTTTTTTTTTTTTTTTTTTTGCGGTACGCCGGCCTCTCACTGTTGTGGCCTCTCCCGTTGCAGAGCACAGGCTCCGGACGTGCAGGCTCAGCGGCCATGGCTCATGGGCCCACCCGCTCTGCGGGCATGTGGGATCCTCCCGGACCGGGGCACAAACCCGCGTCCTCTGCATCGGCAGGCGGACTCTCAACCACTGCGCCACCACGGAAGCCCCTGTTGGAAGATTTTTAATCACAGTCTCAAATTCAGTACTTGTGATTGGTCTGTTTATATTTTTTATTTCTTCTTGGTTCAGTCTTAGAAGGTTGTGCTTTTCTAAGAATTTGTGCATTTCTTCCAGGTTGTCCTTTTTATTGGCATATAGTTGCTTGTAGTAATCTCTTATGATCCTTTGTATTTCTGCAGAGTCAGTTGTTACTCCTTTTTCATTTCTAATTCTATTGATTTGAGTCTTCTCCCTTTTTTTTCTTGATGAGTCTGGCTAATGGTTTATCAATTTTGTTTACCTTCTCAAAGAACCAGCTTTTAGTTTTATTGATCTTTCCTATTGTTTCCTTCATTTCTTTTTCATTTATTTCTGATCTGATCTTTATGATTTCTTTCCTTCTGCTAACTTTGGGGGGATTTTTTTTGTTCTCCTTTCTCTAATTGCTTTAGGTGTAAGGTTATGTTGTTTATTTGAGATGTTTCTTGTTTCTTGAGGTGGGAATATATTGCTATAAACTCCCCTCTTAGAACTCTGCTTTTGCTGCATCCCATAGGTTTGGGGTTGTCGTGTTTTCATTGTAATTTGTTTCTAGGTATTTTATTATTTCCTCTTTGATTTCTTCAGTGATCTCTTATTTATTAAGTAGCATATTGTTTAGCCTCCATGTATTTGTATTTTTTACAGATTATCTCCTATAATTGATATGTAGTCTCATAGTGTTGTGGTTGGAAAGATACTTGATACGATTTCAATTTTCTTAAATTTACCAGCACTTGATTTGTGACCCAAGATATGATCTATCCTGGAGAATGTTCCATGAACATTTGAGAAGAAAGTGTATTCTGTTGTTTTTGGATGGAATGTTCTATAAATATCAATTAAGTCCATCTTGTTTAATGTAGCATTTAAAGCTTGTGTTTCCTTATTTATTTTCAGTTTGGATGATCTGTCCATGGGTGAAAGTGGGGTGTTAAAGTCCCCTACTATGAATGTGTTACTATCAATTTCCCCTTTTATGGCTGTTAGCATTTGCCTTATGTATTGAGGTGCTCCTATTTTGGGTGCATATATATTTACAATTGTTATATCTTCTTCATGGATTGATCCCTTGATCATTATGTAGTGTCCTTCTTTGTCTCTTGCAGTAGTCTTTATTTTAAAGTCTATTTTGTCTGATATGAGAATTGCTACTCCAGCTTTCTTTTGATTTCCATTTGTATGGAGTATCTTTTTCCATCCCCTCACTTTCAGTCTGTATGTGTCCCTAGGTCTGAAGTAGGTCTCTTGTAGACAGCATATATATGAGTCTTGTTTTTGTAACCATTCAGCCAGTCTGTGTCTTTTGGTGGGACATTTAATCCATTTACATTTAAGGTAATTATCAATATGTATGTTCCTATTACCATTTTCTTAATTGTTTTGGGTTTGTTATTGTAGGTCTTTTCCTTCTCTTGTTTCCTGCCTAGAGAAGTTCCTTTAGCATTTGTTGTAAAGCTGGTTTGATGGTGCTGAATTCTCTTAGCTTTTGCTTGTCTGTAAAGGTTTTAATTTCTCCATCAAATCTGAATGAGATCCTTGCTGGGTAGAGTAATCTTGGGTGTAGGTTTTTCCCTTTCAGCACCTTAAGTGTGTCCTGCCACTCCCGTCTGGGTTGCAGAGTTTCCGCTGAAAAATCAGCTGTTAACCTTATGGGGATTCCCTTGTGTGTTATTTGTTGTTTTTCCCTTGCTGGTTTTAATATTTTTTCTTTGTATTTAATTTTTGATAGTTTGATTAATATGTGTCTTGGTGTGTTTCTCCTTGGATTTATCTTGTATGGGACTCTCTGCTCTTCCTTGACTTGATTGACTATTTCCTTTCACATATTTTCTCAGTCCCTTTGTTTTTCTCCTCTTCTTCTGGGACCCCTATAATTCGACTGTTGGTGCGTTTAATGTTGTCCCAGAGGTCTCTGAGACTGTCCTCAATTGTTTTCATTCTTTATTCTGCTCTGTGGTAGTTATTTCTACTATTTTATCTTCCAGGTCACTTATCCATTCTACTGCCTCAGTTATTCTGCTATTGATTCCTGTAGAGAAGTTTTAATATTATTTATTGTGTTGTCCATCATTGTTTGTTTGCTCTTTAGTTCTTCTAGGTCCTTGTTAAACATTTCTTGTATTTTCTCCATTCTATTTCCAGATTTTGGATCATCTTTACTATCATTACTCTGAATTCTTTTTCAGGTAGACTGCCTATTTCCTCTTCATTTGTTTGGTCTGGTGGGTTTTTACCTTGCTCCTTCATCTGCTGTGTGTTTCTTTGTCTTCTCATTTTGCTTCACTTACTGTGTTTGGTGTCTCGTTTTCACAGGTTGCAGGTTCATAGTTCTCGTTGTTTTTGGTGTCTGCCCCCAGTGGCTAAGGTTGGTTCAGTGTGTTGTGTAGGCTTCCTGGTGGAGGCCACTAGTGCCTGTGTTCTGGTGGATGAGGCTGGATCTTGTCTTTCTGGTGGGCAGGACCACATCCAGTGGTGTGTTTTGTGGTGTCTGTGACCTTATTAAGATTTTAGGTAGCCTCTCTGCTAATGGGTAGGGTTGTGTTCCTGTCTTGCTAGTTGTTTGGCATAGGGTATCCAGCACTGTAGCTTGCTGGTCATTGAGTGGAGCGGGGTCTTTGCGTTGAGATGGAGATCTCTGGGAGAGTTTTTGCCGTTTCATATTACATGGAGCCAGGAGATCTCTGGTAGACCAATATCCTGGACTCAGCTCTCCCACCTCAGAGGCACAGGCCTGACACCCAGCCAGAGCACCAAGACCCTGTCAGCCACATGGCTCAGAAGAAAAGGGAGAAAAAAAGAAAGAAAGAAAGAAGAGAGCAGCCAAACCAAAAAATAAATCCATCAATGATAACAAGCGCTAAAAACTATACTGAAAAAAACAAAAAAAAGAAAAAAGAAAAAAGAAAAAAAAAAAACAGACAGAACCCTAGGACAAATGGTAAAAGCAAAGCTATACAAACAAAATCACACAAAGAAGCATACGCATACACACTCACAAAAAGAGAAAAAGGAAAAAATATATATTAAAAAAAAAGGAGGAAGAGAGCAACCAAATCAATAAACAAATCTACCAATGATAATAAACTCTAAATACTAAACTAAGATAAACATAAAGCCAGGGATAAATTAGATGCAGAAAGCAAACCCCAAGTCTACAGTTACTCCTAAAGTCCACCACCTTAGTTTTGGGGTGATTCGTTGTCTGTTCAGGTATTCCACAGATGCAGGGTACATCAAGTTGATTGTGGAGGTTTAATCCGCTGCTCCTGAGGCTGCTGGGATAGATTTCCCTTTCTCTTTGTTCGCACAGCTCCTGGGATTCAGTTTTGGATTTGGCCCCGCCTCTGCGTGTAGGTCACCTGAGGGCATCTGTTCTTCGCTCAGACAGGATGGGGTTAAAGTAGCAGCTGGCTCTGGCTCACTTAGGCCTGGGGGAGGGAGAGGGCAGGGTAAGGAATGCGGGCTGAGCCTGTGATGTTGCAACAGCCTGAGGCACACCATGTGTTCTTCCGGGGGAGTTGTCCTTGGATCACGGGACCCTGGCAGTGGCGGGCTTCACAGACTCCCGGTAGGGGAGGTGTAGATAGTGACCTGTGCTTGCACACAGGCTTCTTGGTGGCAACAGCAGCAGCCTTAGCGTTTCATGCCCATCTCTGGGGTCCACACTGATAGCCGCGGCTCACACCCGTCTCTGGACCTCGTTTAGGCGGTGCTCTGTATCCCCTCTCCTCGCGCACCGCACAATGGTCTCTTGCCTCTTCGGCAGCTCCAGACCTTTTCCTGGACTCCCTCTCTGCTAACTGTGGCGCACTCGCCCCCTTCCAGCTGTGTTCACGCAGCCAACCCCAGTCCTCTCCCTGGGATCTGACCTCCGAAGCCCGAGCCTCAGCTCCCAGCCACCACCTGTCCCGGTGGTTGAGCAGACAAGCCTCTTGGGCTGGTGATTGCTGGTCAGCACCAATCCTCTGTGCGTGAATCTCTCCGCTTTGCCCTCCGCACCCCTGTTGCGGCGCTCTCCTCCGCGGCTGCGAAGCTCCCCACCTCCGCCAGCCGCAGTCTGTGAAGGGGCTTCTAGTGTGTGAAAACCTTTCCTCCTTCACGGCTCCCTCCCACTGGTGCAGGTCCCGTCCCTATTCTTTTGTCTCTGTTTATTCTTTTTTCTTTTGCCCTACCCAGGTACATGGGGAGTTTCTTGCCTTTTGGGAGGTCTGAGGTCTTCTGCCAGCATTCAGTAGGTGTTCTGTAGGAGTTGTTCCACACGTAGGTGTATTTCTGATGTATCTGTGGGGAGGAAGGCGATCTCTGTGTCTTACTCCTCCTCCACCTTGAAGGTCCCCTTTTATTTTAGCTTTTGAAATAAACATTTATGTTAGATTTTTTTTTTTGCATAGGTGTATATACTAGTTTCAAACAGTTTTTAGATCCTCAATAAAACATATCTTTTAGGAACTTTTACTTTTAGCACTTTGCTAGCCAAGTCCTTTAAAAATAATAAAAAGTTATAACATTTCTTTTACAATATTTTAAAATATAGAATTTTGATTAACATTGACTGGGTGTAATGCCAATGAATTCAAACTAGTGATGTTTATTAAATTTAAGGAAATTGCCCGATAACATCTATCTTACTACAACAACTCAACTCTCATGGTGGCAAGCCCCAATTCCAATAAATTCCTTATGAACCGGGAAACACCTCCTTAGGACTTAGTTTTCTTAACCTACAAAATGAGGGTGATGGAGGAATTCTGACATGAGTTGCTCTTGTCAGATGATCCTTCTACATATAACAATGATAAACTGTAAGTTTATCCTTAGAATGACCAAAAGTAAGCAGATTCTGGAGGGCAGTTGACCGTTTGTAAGAAGGGAGATACTCAGATCCCTGTTTTCACAGTTTCTACCCTAAGAACTGGCCTCAGTCTGCTCCCTGCAGGTTGGCTAAAATTCTGCTGCAAAACGCCGGGTATTTTGGCTTGAAGAATGAGAGGTATGAGTTTGGGATAAGTATAGTTGCTGGAAAGTAAGTGGAAGATCCAAGGTAGGAGGGATCCAGAGAAGGGAATCCTAAAATCTTTTTAATAAATCTTCTGCTGATGCCTGAACCATGCCTGCTCAGGACAAACTTTAAGCAACCAAGCCCAAAAGATATAGTCCAATTAAGTCAATTGCATGCTAAACCAAACCAACCAAACATACAAAAAAACTAACTTTCTTTGGGAAAGTATTACAGACTCCAAGATGTCTGGAAAATAACATTTACAATGTTAAGGATACAACCTAAAATTACTTAATAAATCAAGAAATATGGGAATGTGACTCATTTTTGAGACAAAAGACAATCAACAAAGATCAACCCGGGGATGCCCCAGATGTTGAAGCTAGCAGACAAAGATTTAAAGCAGTTACTATAAAACAGCAGTCTCCAACCTTTTTGGCACCAGGGACCGGTTTCATGGAAGACAGTTTTTCCTCAGGGGGGTGGGGGTGGATGGTTCCGGGATGATTCAAGCACATTACATTTATTGTGCACTTTATTTCTGTTATTATTACACTGTAATATATAAGGAAATAATTATACAACTCACTATAATGCAGAATCAATGGGAGCCCTCAGCTTGTTTTTCTGCAACTAGATGGTCCCATCTGGGGGTGATGGGAGACAGTGACACCCGAAGTGTGTTGCTTATATCCAGTCTACTCTGTACTCTTGTTTTGGTGGCTGTTACTGCAGAAAACCCTGCTTCACAAAGATAGGATATTGGAAATGGAAGCAGGCTTTTCAGTGCTTTTGTGGCAGTCTCAGGATATTCCGTCTTGACTTTAATCCAGAACATACGGAGATTTGAAGTTGTCTCAAACATACTTTTAAGGCCACCATCATTTGCAATCTCAAGCAGTTGATCCTCTTCTAGCACGGACAAAGTCGATTCACCTGGCTTATTTACAAATGGGTTGCGGATCCATTCCTTCCCAGTTCGGGGGTCTTTGTAGTTGGGAAGTAATGCTCAAACTCTTTTGAAAGCTGAGATAGGTGATCATGCACCAGCTGGGAGAAAGAAGGCCCTGGTTGAGTCCCTTTCAAAATCTCTGCTAATGTTTGAAACATGTCAAAAATCCCAGTGTTCACTCGTCACCCACATAATTTCAGTTTGGCTTTGAATGGAGCCACTTTATCTGCAGACTTGAACACAGTTGTTGTTCTCCCTTGAAGTGACAGATTGAGTTCGTTCAGCAGGTTGAATATGTCACACAAGTAAGCAAGTTTTGCAACCCATTCAGTATCACTGAAATGTGTTGCCAGTGGTGACTGTTTTTCTAAAACAAATCTCTGGAGTGGCTCTTATAACTCAGATACTCTGGCCAGTGATCTACCTTTAGAAAGCCACCTCACTTCTGTGTATAAGAGAAGACGTGTGTGCTCTGTGTCCATCTCCTCACAGAGCTGTGCGAACAGATATGAGTTAAGGGCATGTAGTTTAATGTGGTTGATAATTTTAATCACCTCCTGCAAAACGTTGTTAAGTTCAGGTGACATTTTTCAGCTGGCCAGCATTTCTCTATGGATGACACAGTGCATAGACTCACGTTCAGAAGCAACCTCTTTGATCCAAGTAGTGAAACCAGAAAACTGTCCAGTCATGGCAGCCACTCCGTCCGTGCATATACCAACACAAAATGACCAATTCAGTTTTCCTCATATGTAATCATTCAAAGACTTGAATAGTTCTGCAGCTGTGGTGTTGCTTGGCAACAAAAGTGCACATAACATATCCTCCTGCACATCCTCCTGAAAAATATATCACACAAATACAAGCATTGTTGCCTTGTTGTCAACATTGGTAGACTCGTCAACCTGGACTGCGTACCACGGTGACTCATTAATCCTCTCTAACAATTGTGCCTCAATATCCTCTGCTAGTTCCTCAATTCGTCTAGTTATGGTGCTAGCTGAAAGAGGAACATGTGCCACCTTTTGAACTGCAGCCTCTCCTAAAAGTTGTCCTTAGCAGCAGGCAGGATCAACTCTTCACCAGTAGTGAAGGGCTTCTTAGCTTTAGCAATGCAGTTAGCCACTAAGAATGATGCTCTCAGGGCAGACACATTTGATGAAGTGGTGGCCTTCAATAATTGCTTCTGTTCTTTGTGTGCACGTTTTTTTCTTTTGAAAAACTCCAAAGGCTTGTCTTTTAATGCAGGGTGCTTGGTCTCCATGTTGCAAAGCAGTTTTTAAGGTTTCATGTCTTCGTTGGATAGCTGGTTGCCACATATTATACAAAGCAGGCTTGGAGAATGTGAATCACCTGTTGCAATGAACCCATTAATTTAAGTAGGACTCTTGGTATTTTCTTTTAAATGCAGCTTTCTTTTTGTTGGCAGTCTTAGAGTCTTCTGTCTCATCACTGGGTCTTTCCCCCTTTTCAAAGAAGCTCTCCAGAGATGTTTGTTTTTTACTCATTTTGGCTAGGGTTAACTTATGGGCTTACCAAAACTGTGAGTGAGACAAGTGCACAGTGTGGGGAAAGAGGCACAGATGGAAGTGATAAATAAAATAATGGGCGGGCCCTGCATGGACTAAAATAAGTGTCAGATTCTGACTTAAAGACTGCCTCCAGATGTAGCTTAATTGTCATTTGCTTGCAAATGATAGGGTTTTGATATGAGTCTGCATTTGCTTGCAAATGATAGGGTTTTGATATGAGTCTGCAAGCAATTGATTTATTATGGTCTCTCTGCAGTCAAACCTCTCTGCTAATGATAATGTGTATTTGCAGCCGCTCTCCAGCACTAGCTAGCCTCACCACCTCAGTTCCACTTCAGATCATCAGGCATTAGATTCTCATAAGGATTGCGCAACCTAGATCTCTCACATGCACAGTTCACAGTAGGATCACACTCCTATGAGAATCTAATGCAGCTGCTGATCTGACAGGAGGTGGAGCTCAAGTGGTAATGTGAGTGATGGGGAGCGGCTATAAATACAGATGAAGCTTCGCTCACTCACCCACCACTCACCTCCTGCTGTGCAACCCAGTTCCTAACAGGCCACGGACCAGTAGCGGTCTGTGGCCTGGGGGTTGGGGACCCCTGCTATAAAACATATTCAAGGATGTAAAAGAAAATATGTGCATTATGAATGAAATATAGGATATTTAACAGAGAAAGAGAAACTATAAAAAAGAAACAAATGGAAATTCCAGAACTAAAAAATGTACTATCTGAAATAAAAACTTACCTGATGTATTTAGCAGCAGAATGCAAACGAAGAAAGAGTCAGCAAAGCTGAAGATATATTAATAGAAATTATTGGGACTTCCCTGGCAGTCCAGTGGTTAGGACTCCACACTTCCACTGCAGGGGGCAAGAGTCCAATCCCTGGTCGGGGAACTAAGATCCCGTATGCTGCACGGTGAGGCCAAAAAAAGAAAAAATTAATTAATTAATAGAAATTATCTAACCTGAGGAACACAGAGAAAAAATATTGAAGTAAAAATGAACAAGCCTCAGGGACCATATTGAAAGCTCTAAGAATGTGTAA